AGTCAGCTGGCGTAAAGCGATAATATGATAAATGCGATTAATCCGCCGTTATTGACCATATGGGGTAGCCATCTTGAACACTGCTTCAAACTAAATAAAGAGACACGTTGATAAACAGTTTCCTACAAATCAGGAAGAAAATGACAAACTTTCACATCTAAATGATCCGTCGGGGTAACATTAGCCAATCGCTAAAAAAAAATCGACCTCATTACACATTGAACACTTTCCCTGGTATACTTGAAAGGGAAATCATCATTCAACTGTGGCTGATTAGCTCCTAAGGTATGACGACCGTCCCCTGCTGTTATATAGATTTGCCCAGAGTAGACGCGACCACGAGTCGGCGCCAGCGAGATTCCAAAGCCAATTGTTTAGTCAAAACCCAAGCAGTTAGCCAATTCACTAGCAAGTTGCAAATTGACTGCCCCAATACTTCTGAGACTTGCTGTAAATACTGCCTACAAAAAAAGCACTTCTTGAATCATTTTTCTGTTGTTTTTTTGTCGCAAATGTATTATTTCTTCAGAGAGCTGTCTAAGCATGATTTGTATAGTCATTTGGTGAAATGTGACATAATTATGGTTGTATATTCAAAGAGAGTCTTTAGCTAAGATCATGTAGAGGTGAATTAAAAAACACATTTTGTTGCCCTTCGCTGGAGGGTCGTGGTGTCTTTTTTTTTACGAAGCTTGGAAAAATTCAACATTCAGAATTCAGCATAATTCGTAACCACAAGAAACACTGCGGCAGCAGTGCAATATTTACACACACACTCGCACATTGTAGCTCACCTGATGAAGTCAACCTGTCTCCTGTCGTCTTAGGGTAAGCGCGTAATCCAGATCTGTTGGCATACACAATAGTTGAAACTGAGTATACTGGGAACAATAGATTTTGCTGAATGTGCGATTCAAAATATGCTGATACAGCGATCACATTGTAAGAACACAGTGTGGGAATAGATGTACGTCTTTGCTTCAAGTCCCCATTCAGCCAATCTGGGCATTTGTTAAAACACAGTCCCTCTATCTGATAGAGGGACTGTGGTTAAAATAAAAAAAAGTCAACCGGAAAAGTGCTGCTGTGCAATCTGGAGTTCAAATGTTATTGTGTCTGGCCGCCGTCGTAAAGAAATGCACTGCTAATTAAAAATAAACAAGTGATGGGCAATTCATCATCACGACAAACTCACCTTTCTCATCGTACCAATCACCGGAATCGTTGACCGAGCTTCCACTTCCGGTATTATGAAGTTACAGCGCCCTCTCCAGGTCGTTTGAAGTAGCATGAGCCAATGAACCAATGGTTTTTTTTATCAATTATATTCGCATTACAGAAATACACACCCTCCCCGAATATCCATACTATGAGAGTATATATAGTATTTAGTAGTAAATTTCAAAGTCAAAGTTTAATTTATAATGATAACTTATTCTTTCTTGTAAAATATGTGTAAACAATTCAACTTGTTTTATGGTAAGAATAACTGTATTAGAAATAGATATGTGAATTTATGTTCATTGTTGTTTTGTATATCCGTTGTTTAGCAGCTGATTTCTTTCTTTCTGTACTCTATTTGGACCATTGTTAACATATGCGGTCTCCTATCGGTGTTGTATCTTCTTTTGTGGGGGCTAGATTGCGACTACTGATACAAATTCTAGTGTCTTGATGTATTTTTTTCCTGTTTACAATGTAGATATGGTTCAAATTCATGTTTGTTTGTTTTTTAATTTCGAATATGTTTGTAATTAAATTTCAGTTCTTCACATATTTGCTTTTCGGGACATTTTAAAAATAATTCTAATAATGTTGTATCAGCTGGTGGAGAATGAAACAAGATTCTGTCGGCCTTGAAAGACATGACGTGAGGAATTGTCTAGATTCGTGCGTGGAACCACAAACTATTATCTTGGATGTATACTGGATTGAGCATATTGACGTTAATTTGCACTGGTAAATTAAAAAGGTAACTGGTCAGTACCGACCATAAATC